AAAAAAAAAAAAAAAATCTAAAACTTGAGAAAGCACAACAGTGCAATTTAGAAGGTTTTTTTTTTATTAACTCTTGACATTCTATGCCAAATACTATTTCTATCTTACTTTGATCCAGAAAGCTACTTAAGGCAACTTATAAACGAAAATTAAATATAACAACAAACATAAATTAAAAGTCAGAAAAAATATTAAAATGAGGCACATACAGATAGATATAGAGATAGAGAAGAAATGATTTCCTAGATATATTGTCAAGTGAAAAAAATAAAAACAAAGTACCTAACACTACATTCTACCACCTATGTTCCTGTATATCTGTATATACACAAACTACTCTGAAAGTATACCAACAAAAAAAAAAGAAAGAAAGGAAGAAAAAAAGAATGCCATCGATAAAAATTTAACTCTTTAAGAGGGAGAAACAAAGGCAGGGATAAAACAGACCCAAAAATAGGGTAAAAACTCATACAGAACCAACGATAAGTAAGATCCAAGAATTTTAAGAGCAGGTACAAACTTTACTCTAAGCCTTCCAACAGCCAACACAAAAAGGGAGACCTACCAGTTAAAGAGATGCAAGGTTCGTGAGAAAAAAACATCCAATTGCTCATGAAATTAATTACTATTTCCTTCTCTAGGTCTTCATAAAGAGAACACTGGGTGATGTAGCTAACACTGTCCCTACAAACAGCTGCAACAAGAAGCAATCATTATTTTCCCCGTCGTATGCCAATGTTAAACACTTCAACTTTGCAGCCACCACTGCCTTTTGTCTTCAGCTGATAAAAAACCTTACCTCGGTTCCATCTGGTGTTGCTGGTGTTGCTGGGGAGGCTGGTGACGAGGCGGGGCTTCTGATGGGGGATTTGGGAACAAATGAAGGTTGGTCTAGGGCTGAGGTAGGTCTAGAGGATGTTGAAGCCTCAGAGGAAGGTGGGTTCCCTTGTGTATGGGGTAGGATATGATCGACCACCCATCCAGAGTAAGAAGACAGCTTGGGAAGAGACATACATTCTTCTAAAACATCCTGGAGAGAAGAAGAAGGTTAAGCCCAACTTGCATGTCAACTGATCTAAGCAATCAAAAATAGTCCATCACATGCCTTACTGGAAACCTAAGAAGGCGTACGTACATATATACATACATAAATATCAAAGACCCAAAGTAACTGTATTAACAATCAGAGATGAAGAGACAAGTACAGTAGTTTCTTGATAATGACCAGAGTATCAGACTAAAAAACTCTACTTACAGAAAAAAGAACAATGCACAAAGATGGCCATTAAAGCATATTCAAAAGCAATCTAAATGCTGGAACAGAAAAGAACACAAGAGGAATTCTGAAGTAAACTGTAGTATACACAATCAGTGGAATATTAGTCATTTAAAAATACTGATTGTGGCCGGCTCTGTGGCTTAGCGGTTAAGTGCG